AAAAAAAAAAAAAAAGGAGTAGCAACTGTGGACAGGCTAAATAAGATTTGGGTATGTTAGTTTTAATCATCAGATTGCTGGGGCTTTCTTTGTAGTATTATTGGGTTTTTACCTTACAATATAAAGTACCTTGAGGCAACTGTTGTTGTGATTTGACGCAATATAAATTTGAAATTGAAAATTCAGTGAAGGCAAAGGGAGCAACTCAAGGTTAAGTATGTTGCCCAAGTCACCGTCCAAATCACCATTGCTGTTAGTGATCAAACCTAGTTTCAGTGTGTCACTTGATATAAAAGTCAGTTGTAAAAGTGGCATAAAGGTCACAGGATTCCTCAACTCAATAAGAAAAATGACTCGTGGATAAAAATGGCGTGTTCTGGTAAATATATTTAACTTCTTTTGTCTACTGGACCATGAGTTCTATGAGGTTATGACAATAAGAAATTAGGTAATCCACAACTACTGTATATACTGACCATTAAAAAATGCATCACTTTCAGAGACACTGTACATGTTCAAGCTCCATGTTTACACACAGGCACAGCTGGTCTACTGTCATCATCTCTGGAATTTGTGCAGCCACAGTGTCCAGCTGAGTTTGTATCTCAGTTACCCTAAAAGCCCAATAATGTGAGCAATCATTAAACCTTGAGCCACAGCCTGATCTGCTTTGTAAAAGAATCACCACGAGCACAGATATCAAGGTAAGAGGGGGTGGGGGGAGACTGGAGACAGTGGATTTGTTTTTTTTTTTTATAAGCAACAAAGTGCATAGTGCAAAGCAGAGTATGAAGCAATCACCAGTGATTGTTTTACACCCCAACCCTGATATCACCACTTAATGAGCTTTGTTATGAAAATGCAAGTGTTGTTGTTGTAGTGAATGATGACAGTGTGTTATTCTTTAGCGATAACTGGTAACATAACGCCAGAGGTGTCTGAACACTGACTTGCAGAGTATGGTGTAGTTTCTCACTGGCAGCAGAACAGATAAGTTGAGAAAACCGGACACTTAGATTGGGCGACACTTTAAATGTGGCAGCAAAAGAAGAATGTCCTTAAATAAATACGTTACAAATGAACTTTATTTATACAGCGTCAAATCACAACGGTTGTCACACATCCATTATCCTAGACCCTACAAAAATGCAGAGTTATCAAATTCCAGTTCAGGGATCTCTTGTAATGTAATAATTTATGATTTTGTAGTCGACTTATAAAAATTGTGATAATAGACAGGCTCCGTTAACACAGTTATTCGCCGTACTTATCTCTGAGTACCTGAGAGCAGCGTGGAGCAACAATTTTCAGAATACGTAAATACTGACGTGAACGTCACTGGGTAATTAAGCCACCGTAAGCAGTACATTGAGTGGAATTGCTGGTTGCTGTATTTTTATGCTAAGTGTGAAACATAAAAACACACGTAAAACCTTCCACTTAATGCTGCTCCCAGCAGAGTAAGGAACATTAACGTGGAAACGCAAACACTGACACATTAGCAGGCTACAGACTCCCCACGCGCTTATTCATTCCAGCTGCCTGCCACACAGCTAGCCAAATCGGCTCACCTTTGCTACGTAGCTACAGTTCTGTTTTCAGGATAGCTATAAGAGACATTACTTAACCCTAAAGAAGAAGCACGACCAGACGAAGCCAGGTAAATACTGATCAGTGCGCCCACATGGTCTTGTTTCCCAGTCACCCTGAACTAAACTTCACATTGGTACCGCGTGCACCAACGTGAAACTAATCTGATAGCCGGCTCTGTCAGAGCCCTCGGCGACAGCTAAACAAGCGAATACCAGTCCCCTTTGATAATATTTCCTCTTGAGTGAATTTATTAGCTCAGCATGCTTACCTGTGGACGAGTCTTCGCTGGCAACCTGCTGTAATTGCAACACATCACTGGGTTGAAGCCACTTCATAAGTAGGACCTCCCATTATCCTTGACACTAGATGCCTTCACGTGCTCCCAGTAAACTAAAATTAAACCTAACCACCTCCCTATATTTCATTGGGTTTAAATTACTGCCGGGTATCTACTAAATATGTTACACAAGTAGTTTCATAAAATTGAAATACTCCATCATGTCAACTTTGTACTTAACGGTACTTAAATACAAGATCCTGCTAATTTGTTGACGCTGCTCTTATAAAGATCTTTGGCAGTGGCAACTTTATTTAAACCACTGAGACACAACCCAAAGGATGCTTTAATAATGTGAAGAATAAATCAGAATGCTAATAAATGGTTTGCAATTATTTGAAATACGTTCACAGCCCATTCTTTCCATTTCCCAAATCCAATAAAACTAGTCTTTCTAAAATCTGTGAAGGGAATAGATTGCTCTGGTGCTCTAGAAATCTTTAAATATTAGACTATGATTTGAGAGCTATAGTTTTCCACCGGGAATGAATTGAGGCAACAGAACATGGGAGCACTGTAACTGTTGCAATCATTTCGGGCATGATGACGATGTTTGTCGTGACGCCAGTGAGCAGCCGCAACAGTACCGGGGAACCGGGACACGTCATCATCGCTGGTAATTGATCACCATGGCAATGGCAGCTGTTTGATTTTGCCGACTCATTGACATATCCCTCTTTCACCCCGCAGAGCACACGCACACGGCTGTATCCTACCTGTCCTTTTCCATATCCAAAGCTAGTATGAAGACATTTTCTCAGTATTCATACCCCCGATGACACACGCTCGCTCCGAGTTCAGACAATGCATTATTGACATTTATCAAAACGGACCCCATGACATCCTTCACTGCTCCCAGTGCGCATTGGTAAATACGCAGCTGCACACATCTCTGTCCCCTCTTCCGGCTGGTGACTCATGCGCCTCACTGAATTAACGGTGGCACTACAGAGGAGGGATGATACTGTAGAAAGTCAGGGTACATAACATCAAATGACTGCTTTAATCCCTTGGCTTCAAACACAGGCACGAAAAGATAATCTTAGCAGAAAATGTAAAAGCAAGGAAATTTGTGTTTGGTTCATTATGTTTTAGCCTGTTTATTTCCTCTTAAATTGTGCCCCACATGTAAGGAAAACACATTTGTAGGTTGCTCCCATGCAAAAGTAGCCAAGTCTTTTCTGCCAATGCCAAACAGCTTATTCTGATATTGACTCTTGTTCTGAGTTTCGGGTAGCCCAGGTGATGACAATCAGGTTAGCCGAGTTGGCAACACCTGTGAACATGGACCCTGCTACAGGGTCAGTGTCTGCTCCAAGAATACCACATCTGACTGACCTAGATAGGGACTGTGCCATTGGAAAACTTAAAGCTGGTGTTCTGCAAAACAAAGTTGCAGGGTTATTAGGAGTGAGCCAGTACATTCTACAAACTGCTGTTGCTCTGGTGTCGGGCAACATGACAATGCTGACCTCAATCCTACTGAACACATGTGAGATCAGCTTGAGTGTGCTGCTAATGTCAGTGTGACCTACACAATCAGTAGCAGATGAAGCTGTTTTTCATTGGCAGAGAAGATTGGGCAACTTTGTCACAGGTGCAACCCACAAATATAATTTTTCTTACATGTGTGGCAGCATTTAAGGAGAAATAAACAACTTTAAACAGTATGAGATTTATTGCCAGGAACATTTCTGCCACTTTCTAATAGTGCTGTAACTAACTTTAAGAATACATTTCACCCACTGTTATCATCATGTCTTGTACCAACACATAGCACAGCAGCTACCTGGGAGAGTTCTACCAAGAACTACTACAAGAAAAGTCGATTATGTCCTTAATAATTTTACCTACCTCTTCTCTATGTATGACTGGATACTGTAGCTCCTGTGAAAAAGACAGCCTCAAATCAGAACTACTTGACTCCCTAGTATAACTCTCAAATGCATACCTAAAGCAGATAACTCGTAAGCTGGAGAGGAAATGGCGTTTCACAAATTTAGAAGATTATCATTTAGCCTGGAGAAATAGTTTGCTGCTTTATAAAAAAAAACCCTCCATAAAGCTAGAAGATCTTACTATTCATCATCACCCAGGTTTCTCCTCAGCACTGTAGCCAGGCTCACAAAAAGTCAGAACACTGTTGAGCTACCCATTCCTTTAAAGTTAACTAGTAATGATTTCATAAACTTCTTCACAAATAAAATTTGAACCATTAGAGAAAAAATACTCATAATTATCTCACAGATGTAACATTATGTACAGCTACTTTCAGTACCATTGATATTCATTTACTCTTTTTCTCTTTTCTGAGTTAACTTCAGTAATTACTTCCTCCAAACCATCAACGTGTCTTTTAGACCCCATTCCTCTGTTTACATTATACATGGTTCCCTTAGGCAGTATCATCAGAAGGTATAGCAGACATTTTCACTGCTTTGCAGATGACACCCAACTTTATCTATGTATGAATCCAGACAACACACACCAGTTAGTTAAACTGCAGGGATGTCTTAAAGACATAAAGACCTGGATGAACTCTAACTTTCTGCTTCTAAATTCAGATAAAAATGAGGTTATTGTACTAACATATTGTACTTTTCCTAGAAATATTGTATCTAAACAGATACTTATGGTGCCTTGAGGCGACTGTTGTTGTGATTTGGCGCTGTATAAATAAAACCGAATTGAAACACTGTTACAACAAAGGAATAATTGGTTTTTCCTTTGTTGTAAATTTTCCTTGTGTTAAGCTTGTGTTTTTTAGTTCAAATTGCTCAGATTTGACCTGAATGCATTTATATAAACCCCCAAAAATATAAAAATTCACCTCAGACCATGAGTTTGCACAAATGATGGTCAAGCTGTCTAGAAAAATGAAAACTACTATATCTGGAGAAATTGCAATATGTAGCTAATGATGGTTTACAGTATGCTGGCTTTAAAAGGTGAAGGTATACGACGGTATAGGTTTATGAAGACACTGAAAAGTAGAAAAGCAGTTAGTCCAGATGACATATCTGGACTAACTGGGGTGGTTGAGCCTCTAAATTGTTCGCCACTTGTTAGAAAACACTGCAAAAAAATGTTCCTCCTCAGACACCTTTTCAGTTTCGTCACACAAAAACTTGTTTTTCTTTTCCCTTGTGTGGTGCAAGCTTCTGTTTAATGTTCACCATACCGTGTGCGTTAAACACCTCAACAAACATCACAAGAACAGTCATTTAGTTTTGTTTTTTAATTGTAAAACAAAAAGTATTATAACATAAATCAATACCATCCATCACCCTCTTCAATAACAGCAATCAGTTTTGTGAGTATGCTGCACACATTAAACCTATTGACACTGGAGGTTACAGACCCCATAAGAGTTTATAGCAGGTGGGCTGCTGGCTTCAGCATAGAGAATAGCCCTCCTAGATCATTTCATTAATAACCTTGCGTAAGTAGCAAGTATTGACTGTTCCTCAGAAAACCTGAGGAATCTTAATGTATGTGTTAACTTTAATATTTTAACATAATTCATACATGATAAGGCAAGAACCTCCACAGAACGAGTAATAAGACCTTCTCTGCCAAAGAAGTGACAACTGCTCCTCAACAGGTACAGTGTCTCTGAAACTGATGTCCAGCCCAGTGTCCATCCTGCACGTGCTCCCCCTCAGTTCAGCTGTCTGATGATTACATTGATATCTGTGCCGCGGTACCCTGGGTTTCCCAGGTCCTTCAGGAGCCCAGCTTTGTCTTTGATGGAGTGACGAGCCACTGACAGCCTGAACGGCAATAGGAAGTTATTGGCAGCTCGAAAGTTCTTCCCAACAGAGTAGATCTCGTGAATCAGGTCCTCCAAGCAGATGATTCCGTGTTTACCTGTGTGCCGAGAAGGAGCAAAGAAAGCCCATTAAAGCTGTACCTAAAAGAGAGACGTAGCCGCTAGTTATAATCTTTCATCCATAATATCTATATTTTGCAAATTCTGATGATCATTAGAGTCAAAATCAGAAAAAGGTTGTGTACTTTATTGTTAGCACAATAAAAACAATATCTGTGAATAAAAACAATGAGCAGTGGGCAAAATGGGCCCGGCTTCAAGAAAGGGTAACTAATAAAAAAATAAGCAACTTTCCATTGAGATGGGCAGGAACGAAACGAGTTGGCAATTATGTGTATCGTGATAAAAGGCTGTGGCTACACACTTTTTTAATTGCAAAAACAAACAACTCATGTCCTTGCATGACAGTACTACAGACAGCCACTGTTGCTGGGTGAAACCAGTTACAAACATGGTGCGGCACCAAGAACCTTGTACTAATTTCTTCCCAATTCCAAGCAGGGCGGTAGTAAAATTTGAAAAAGTGGAATGCAAACCAGAAATAGAGATGGTTCACCTCAAAGTAAAAGCTGTGTCTCAGTGTTACAGTAAACATGTTTCTAAGGACCTTCTCCATTTCCGGAGCTGTTTCACTACAGCTAGATGCTGTTTGTAGACAAGTCCATCACTTCTATTCAAACTGCGATCAGAGCAATATGCTGCCAACCAAAGCAATCACAAGATCATAAGGAGATTTTCCCTAACTGGACCTGAAGTACCCATTTATTATATAGACACAGATGGTTTCCAGGGAGTCACTGACCATATGTAGGCATGTGTGACTGGGGCTTTAGCCATCATCTCCCCAGCAACTGCCATCAACCACTCAAAACTGGTTGGGATATACTCACCTGGTGGTAACCAGATGGTCATGGACCTTTCTAATTATCACATGTGATAGCAGGAAAGCTAACATTACATTGTTATTGATCATGAGTCTGCAAAACCTTGATACGCACAACTATGTTCATCTGCCCTCTAGAGGACATCATAGCCCCCTTTCTGTTAGTACCTAATTGGATCAACTCGGCACGGTTTGCCACCTGCTTGCCCAGGGTTCCAAGCGATCTGAGCAGGTACTAAAATGTGATGCTGTCAGACTGCATACAACCCACTGGCTGGTCAGTGGCGTCACTCGATGAGTCCTGGGAGCGTCTTATTCATGAAAATTAAAACCGCCACATGGCGGTTTTAATTTTGGCTACAAAAAACAATCTTAAAAATAATTTAGGAAGTAAAAATAGAACCATGTATTTTATTTTACATAACACTTCAAAGAAAGATGGAGTATGACAGAGGGAGTGGGAGGAGGAAGAGACAGAGAGATAAAACAGAAAACGTGAGAGAGAGGGAGAAAGAGGAAGGGATGGAAAGAGAGAGATAGAGTGCACAGCTAAAATGAAGTGCTTTGCGACTGCAGGTGAGTGGGGAGGGAGGCTCAGCGCTCTAGTGTGAGTGACTCACCCATGTGCTCCTCGATGAAGGTGTTATCTGTGAGGGGAACTCTCCTTCTGCCTATCCTGGTCTGACCTCTCTTCAGAATGAGCTCACGAACCGACTTCAGGTTGGGAAATCTGTCTGACACACAGCCCAGTATGTAGAGGACTGAACACAAATTCAAGCCAGCATTACCCTCTAAAGCACACTGTCTCACGCACTCACCCCCACGCCACATAAGGCTCCACCATCTTCATCATGGCGATGGAGGTCTTGTTAATTTTGACAAAGGTCCCACTGAAGATCTTCCTCAGCCTCATCATCTGGATCACTTTCATCACTTTAGGACTGACACCTTTAGTCCTAACAGGAGAGAACCAGTCGGGTTAAACAAACTGTCGGCCGGTTCTGGAAGCCTGTGTCTGCTTTCCAGTACTTACTGTCTAATGCGGACGGCGAAGGCAAGCTTGTTCTTGGCTGGAGGCAGTGGTTCAGCTGGTCTCTGTTTGACCCTTTGAATGCGGGTGTCATCCCGATGCTGTGTGCGGCTTTCCTTTAAGAAATCTTCCAAACGCTTGAACTTGATTTTCCCTTTAGTCACCTACAGCATTACAGAAATACACACATGAATGCACAACAGTACATAAATTCCATACAACTTTTAACTACAAAGCACAGTCATGACGTTTGGATATATTGTATTGTATATATGTAATATGGGCATCAGTGCTTACCCTTCTCTTCTCGAGCAGTGCGAGTTTGGCTTGCGTGGCTTTGATTGCCTGGTATGCCTTCCTCTTTTTCAGAAGATACTCTGGAACCAACTTGATTGCCTTTTTTGTCCTGAAGAGAACAAAAAGTAAGAGAAGGAAGCTTTGGACAAACTAAATAAACGTGGCTCAGTCACAGGATTGTGCTGTGGAGAACTGGAGGCTTTGAGTAGCTTCAGGTGTAACCCTAAAACTTGTTAGGAATCACCTAAAACTTGGTTTTTCAGTGTTACCACGGTAGATTACTTGTTACTGGGGTATGACAGGTATAATAGGTCTGTTAAGACGGATTCTCCAAAAACACATAGTGTTTATGAGGACCTAGTTAGCCTGAGGTCCCAAGGCTTTTCTTGCGTCCTTGTATTAGGACGGCCGGGAGAACAGAATTGTCTGACACAAATTCAAACAGCATGACCCAGAAATTTTAGGGGTGACGCCAGGTCGGGAGGCCGTGGGTATACTTATTCAGTTCGGAGCTACCTTCGGGTCACCGACGGTATACACTTAGCTCCATGTGAAAGTAAGCTCCTCAAAATACGCCTTTTTCACCCATCATCCTTCTAAATAGATACCTTAATCGAATCTTTAAGATTCGTACTTAAAGGAAAAAGCACAATCAGCACATCTACACATAGGAAACCGAACGGATGAACTTAGATACGATTATAAAATCAAACACATACTCTGATTCGGCCATCGTAGATTCCTCGTCGCGGACAAATGACGTCAGCAGATGGTGCCTCGACTGCGCGGCGTTTCGGGTCGAGCCTTTCCCACGGCCCATGTTTTGGGGTGATGCCATCATGTGTAGATCTGACATTTTTAAGGTGATGCCACAAGATGCCGCGGCACTTTGGGGGCGATGACGACGCCACGGCCGTTTGCACAGACATGCCTCAAAATACGAAGCTAAAGCATCCATTCCATCATGCTAGTATCGATGCATCGATCCGCCCACATCTTACTCTTTTCCAGGTTTAATTTTTGTAATTTGGCGTGTTGTGCCGCTGCAGATTGGTTGCAAGAAGGAAGGCAACCACCTCCAAATGGGACAATCCCACTAGGGTTTAAATTCCCGGGACTCTCCACCTTTTGTTTTTAGAACCGAAGAAGCCTCTTGGATGGGATAAGTCTTCTCATAAGTCCAGTTTCCTTCGTCAAGATCTCTCTCAATGCTGCCATCACCTGGATGAGAACCCACACAAACATTTGTCTCACTTTGCATCTATACAAATCTGACAGTAAAAGATTTGTTTTAACACCAAGCATGACCTAGGGTTACACAAATATTTTTATCAGAACCACTTAAGGTTTGCCTTCCTTGCATGAAAGTCTAAAATAAAGTTCTTTTGGATTTTCATATATTAATCATTTGAGTTATTTAGTCAGTGTGAATAAAGCATACACTGTCTCTTATTCAGCCATGCCTCTCTGTTCCCACACACCATTTTGGTTTCAGTGTTTTATACACTGCTAAAAAAAAAAAGAGAAGGATATCTATACTGATATGGACCTGGTAATGTGTTAGGAACAAAAGGATATCACGTGGAAATGAGAATAATTAACCTACATAGGTTGAATTCAAAGACACCCTAAAAAGAGGGTATTCTCTTTATATCACCTGTAAAGAGACATACAGTACATCTTTCCAAATGCCTTGATATCAGTTTGAATAAACAGTTTTCAGAAATATTTTAAACTGTTTAGAAAAACTGCTTCAGACCTAGGACAAGACAGAGCTGTGGTGTAGGCATCCAAAACACGTGCTTTAAGATGCATTTTAGCACTACGTGTCACATTTTCGGGCTTTAAAGTCTAAAGCTGCAATACTGTGGAAAGGTTGTACAAATACTCTAAGAAGGATGAACACTTAATACATAACACATCACATAAAATCAAATGAAAAGATGACACAAATTATTTTCCTAATTCTTTCACTGTAGCAAAGTCCATGAAATCACTTAAAAAAATATGGCATAAGTATAAACGGCAGTCAGGACCTGTTCCCTGGCCTGAAGGCACAGGGAAATGACCCTATTGTCGAATGGCGAAAACTCCAAAATATAGGCGTCAGGCCAAGGGGATACAAGGATATCCAGCCCACCACCTCTCAGCATGGCCAACTTCAGACTGGAACAGAGTCCAGCCCCTCTCCGGGGGACTGGTTCCAGAGCCCAAGTCGTGCACTGAGTCGAGCTTGATAGTCAGTTTCGCTCAACCTCACATACTAGCTCAGGCTCCTTCCCATTCAGAGAGGTGACATTCCATATCCCAAGTACCATTCTGGGTAGCTGGAGATCTGTCTGGCAGAGTCACTGCTTTTGGCTGCTACCCGCCATACATTGCAACAGACTCCTACTATGCCTCCTGTGGGTGATGGGTCTACAGTAGGGCCTACATTTTTTACCAAAAATGTCTTTGAGTAAAATATTTATTTATTTTGTATCAGTAAGTCTGGAGGATCTTAGCCTGGTCATTGTCAGCCACCCTGTGGGGTATATCCCATTTTGTCCATGTATATCCCATACTCAACATAGATGTTCCTGTATTTTATACAGTGTGCCATCCACTTGTATATGGTCTTCCATGTATGCCGTGCATGTTAGAATCTTGTACCCTGCTGTTATGTGCTGGACAGTCCGTGTACAGGTAGAGTAACTATGGTAGCAGAGAGACTCACTGTGTCTCAAAGTGACATCAAGAAGATGATAGAGGTTACTTTATTATGTTCTGTATTGACTGTGGATCAATTAGTAAACCAAACCTTTTTATATAGGTTTTATTTATTTCAAAAGTGAAGTTCTTTAATTTTGATTGAACTAAAATAAAAATAAAAACTAAATGTTTTTATTTAGTTTAAGTTAACTATAATAACCTTGGCTCACACATTAAGACATACTTTTTGTGTTCAAAACTCGTATGACTGTGTCAGCACTGTGATTTCCTTCAGTTTAATTTCTCCCTGATAATTGACTGAAATAACTGAACTGAACTACTTTTTGAATATGTGCAGTTTCAGGTCTGAGCGTGTTGCTCCATCTAGTGAGCCATCTTAAGCATTGCTTAAAGCGACCTGAATACTGCTTAGTTTTTTTTTATTTTTATTTTTTATAAAGTACAGCAACAACAGAGATATTCTGCACACATCAGTATCAGCGTTATTGGGCAAGTATGAATATACATAAAAGGAATTGGGCTATATTTTCATATACATTCTAAACACATTTTAATGACCATTTAATTTATTCAACAGCCACATCTTCTATCTGCCGTTAAAAGCTGTGCAGTGACCTGTCCTTCCACGATAATTCTTGTTCCTCTTCTTTCTCAGAGTTCTGCTGCTTAGATATAAAAAGTCCCCTCTCGCCCCTGCAGGCAGTCTATCCTTCAAGCTGAGGGTTCTGTGCAGTATCTTTGCTGTTCCTAGGACCGTACTCTTCTGGATATCCAGCATGCCTTAGTTTAGTAGCAGGTATATTGGATATGTTAGCAGAATGTAAATGATCTAAATGTTCATCACAGTGAAGGCCTATGGAAAGAAACTGCACAGATGTCTGCGTGTTTTGATTCTCTGCAGTACCTACCAGAATGAGTCAGTAACATTATTAATATTCTCTGGGGACTAGTTTGACTAGGTGGTAAAAAGAAGTAAAATGTAATTATTTATTTTGTAATTTATTTGCAAATGTGAATAATAATTTCAGTTCACTAATCCTGCTTGGCGTTCTGCCCTCCTTTCTTTATTCTCCTCTGTCCAAGTCCAACAACACCTTCTCTCTGGCACTGCTCAGAAAGTTCAATGCGGCTATAACCCGATCACGGAGGTCGTTCCTCTTTATTTATTTATTTTCTTCAACAAAAGACACTTACTTACTTTGAAAAAAATCTACATAAAATTTACAAAGTTCTGCGTGCCCTACAATGCTTTTGATTCAGATCAGCATCAGAATTTTCTTTGCTACATACACTGAATTAAATTATAAATATGAAAGATAGAAAAATAAAAATAAGGTATTCTGTTTAAGATGCAACATGTTAAATATGTAATCTAAAGTTATACTGTATACAATATAAACAAGATATGTGAAAGTAAAAATAATGAAAATAGTCCAAGTGTCACAGGGAAAGTTTGAGGCTGAATGTGTTCCGACTATCCAGCGTGTCATGGAGAGGGTATGAAGGATTGTGTCATGGTCTGGGTGAGTGGCTGTTTTTCTATTAGGTCTCGGTTTCCACCTCTAGGTGGAGCCTCATCACCCTTTAAGACCAGTGCTCTCAACAAATCTTTTCCAGAACGTCTGCTAACCTCTGATAGTGCTGGAGGAGCAGGGAAGTGAATCACAGACCTTCTGATTGGTAGATAACCCAGTCTGTTGCCTGAGCCACGGCTCCGTAAACTGGAATTGGGATTTTGGCATTGTATTATTCAATGGAAAAACAATAGCAATATTAGCAACAACTGCTTTTTCCACGAGGTGTTGTGTAAGTCAGTATCCATGCTGGAGTTGTATTGTGTTCACATACAGAGACATGCTCAGAAGATGTTGGTTCTTTTCTGTGCTTTGGCTGGGTTCTCATCTGTCTCTGGCATCTTTCTGTTCTTAAGGTGGTTGATTGTTTTTCTGATCTTCACTTTTGCTGGTTTGCACAGTTAATTTTGAAAGTTATTTTTCATCCTACACACACTCAAAAAACTAATTACTGATATATGCTGTTAATACACCAACATTTTTTATTTTTTGCCTTAATCTGATGAGAATAATGAAGAAGAAGAAATTCAAGGGAAGCCACACAACAAAGAGACTCAGGTTGGAATTGAACCCAGGCTACTACACTTAATCTTATGTATGATCTCTTGGGCAACTGGTGAGCTAAAGCAATACACAACATAACCACATATACACATAAAATTTGGTTGCATTGATTCACCTTTAAAATTCAGTCAGTCCAAATTTTTTTGGAGTGTCCCTTTGAAAAATCAGAATCAGATGTATACAGCAATGGTGTATTATTACAAAAAAAAAGAAAAAAGCTTAATGATGGGAATGCCACCAACCCTTAAGTGACTGGCATTGTGGTAGATTGGTAATCTGTAGGTGTTAAAGACTCTGTTCTTTAATCAGAACGCAGAAATGCATATGGCTCATCTGATGATGTGGACTGCTACTGCCTGAGTTTGTGCTGCGTAGCAGCAGTCACAGAGAAGTAGTTCTTTGTACTTCTTAGGTTCTTAGGCCTTCTTTGCTTTAGCTGGCTTGATCAAACCTAGAACCCCAGCTGGAGATAAAGGGTAAAAACCTGAGTAGTCATCAACATTCTCTGCTAAGCTGGGCTTTCTGCATGAACTGTGGCAGTTCATGCAGTATGCAATAAAAAGGTAAAACTGTAGTGAGATGCTTAGTTTTTTACTTTCATGCTTTTTGGCCCACTTCACTTTTTTTTGATGTGGACGTGTGCACATTTTTCTAACTTGTATTTGCCACTAAAGCTCATATGATTGAGATTAAGACGGAATACAAGAAAAAATATTTTTTAACAGCAGCAATTAGTCATTTTAGCATGCTTCATCATTATGTATGCACAGCTCTTTGCAAAAACACTGAGCTAAAAGTCACTAAGGGGACATGAAGATGTGATATTTTAATGCTCTGTGGGTCTGTGTGCACACATTTATCTGTTTTTAGCAGGAACATTTTGACTACTCCAGCTTTGAAAGAGAGTAATCACCAATATTTGTTGACCAGGAATAAGGAGCTTTTTCAAATTATGAACTATGATGTGTCGCACATCACATATTCTGAATATGTCAAGTAAATGGGACAGTTTGAAATGGTTGCACAGATGGAGTGCAGTCCCACCGTATCATATTACCTTTTGTAAGGACAGAGAAG